AGGAGGACGGCCTCGTCTCTTATGTGAATCGTCATCCCTCGTGTCAACCTTTCGTCCCGAAGTTGAGTGACGACCGCCCCGCCGCCCACGTCGTCGACCACCCTCATCGTCCGAATCGTCGTCATCGTCATCTTCTTCATCCTCTTCCTCTTCCTCTTCCACTTCTTCCTCGTCTGGATCCGGAGGAGGGGAATCCTCCGCTTCGGGAATCTCTCCTAGGTCGGGGAGTACGGCATCCTCGGGCTTGATAGTTCCCTCGCTGACTAGCCTCTGAAGTTCCTCCTTAAAGATCTCTCGTAAACGAGCGGCGTCCTGAAAGAATTCCGAGGAAGGTCGGTTATAGACCATGGCATTATGGGAGATGAGGGCGACATCCCTGACAAATTCGGAGAAGGCCGTGTATTGTTTCCTAAGCTTCTTGGTCTGCAATGGGAGATATCAGTGTCAGGACGACGTGAAAAGGGGGGCCAACTGGACTAGTGACTCACTCGAACGGTACTAAAAGCGATGGGCTCCTTTATAACGTCGTAATATTCTGGGATTAGTCGTCGGTTCGGGATGCGCTGAAAGTGCGAGGCAATATGGTAACCGCTATCGAGTTCATTGTTGTTAGATAAAAATAACAACTACCAACCACTACCAACCACTACCAACCAGGCCAGTAGAACTTACTTGGCGTCTCTATAAGTAGAAAGATAATTTGCCGTGTTTTCGATGACAATTAACATATCGTGATCAAGACGGCTCGGGGTGCGATCCTCTTCAGGCTCCCCATCGGCATCCGCGTCGTCTTCGGCATCTGCGCCAGCTTCTGCGCTCGCGTCTCCAGCGGCGTTGATACTCAATTCTCCTCTGGAACCCTCGCCGTTGTCACTAGCATCTCTGGAGTCTGCAGCGGCCTTAGATGCGCCCAGATCCTGCGGCGTGTTTTTGGCATTGCCATCATTAGTTGCTTTAGCCTCGATGGACTCGCGAACCTCGACCGCGCTCTCGGCTTGTTTCTCGGCTTCGTCAGCCATAATAAGAGCTTTAAAGCCAGACGAAAAAGTAAAGCCTCAGTCTCAAATTAGATGATACAGCTTCAAGCAAAAGAATTCAGAGCTGGCACTTGAGGCCGAGGTGGTCAATGGTGGTCAATGGTGGCCAAGCTGCAATTTCGCGGATATATAACAAGTGCTGTTTCGAGGTGGTCCGCGGTTTGTTGGTGTTAGTGACCGGCGCCCGCTGCAAAGTCTCAGTTCTTAAGACTTTATCGAAGCTATATAGCCGAAGATTACCCGAATACCCACCTGCAGTTACACGTATTGTTGTATCTACGGATAAATGCATACGCTGTATACTATGAGCAGTATTATATCATTAACGGGGGTCATGTTCCATTATACCATTTTATCTTTCCAATAGCATTTTATCTTTCCAATCCCCTTCACATTACGCACATATTCCGTACACATACATGGTATTACGAACAACAACTCACGAGGCGGATATTAACTCAGCTGACAAGCATCTATAATACACAAAAGTAAATCAACGATTAGTTTCCAACGTCTTGTCCAACTCAGCATCCCCCACCACCACCTCCTCCGGCTCGGATATCGTATCTACGTGTTTCGGTTTGCGTTTGTATTCCCTATGACTCAAGAATAGGATAGCGAGGATGGTACCGAGTTGTGCCACAGTAGTTGCCAGAATACTGATGAATCCGCCGTGAAAATTAGGCGCGCCGCTTGCTGGAAACTGTACCACTTGAGTCCCGGCCGTAATAGCTTGGCCGATGGCGTTCATGCTGGCTGTTACTACAGCACGTTCCTCGGCGTCTCCGGCCATAACCACTGATGCCCAACCCATAGTCAGGGGTGAGCAGGCTAGGAAGCGGTTAATATAATCATCTCAAGCTATTACCGGAAAGGGGGGAGGCTGGTGGCCGGCCATTGGCGCGATAACTTACCTGCCTCAAATCCAGTGAGTATAAACCCAGCTAAACGGCCGCTCTCACCAACGTCCCAAGCCACAAGCAATGCCATACCAACAAGAACTGGAAAAGTCACGACGATGGCGGGAACCCAAAACCGCCCGGTTTTATCTGCAATAACACCGCTGAACAGTGCAACGACAATACTCACCGCCGTGACGATGGTAGGTATCGTATTAATCTGAACGACCGAGTATATGTTGCTCTTTGCTTTCAGATATAGAGAGAACGGCTGACTTCCAGGGAGGAAGTTCTGATCCATCAATGTCCATTGGAGCACGAAGAGATACCAATGCCAACGAGAAAATACCCGCTTGAATATATCTCGGGATAGTTGTAGCTGCGGCGGAGCTACGAGTCCTTGGATACGCTTACGCGCAAGAGCGTGCTCTTCCGTCGTGATGAAACGCGGCTTCTTCCTAGTAGGTACGTCGGGAAAGACAAAGAACCCGCTGGGATAGATTAGCATTCGCTAGTTAAAGCATTAATATCAGGTATGGTTATGAGATAGACCTTACAATACTGATATGACAAGCGTAATTATCGTATCGACGATGAAGAGCCATCTATCTACTAATTAGCAACATACCATCTTGAATCTCGCAATGAACTATGTCCTAGTATAAGGGACCTACCTCCAGCCTGCCAAGCCGTGTACTTGATTCAGATTAGTATAAGCCGCAGCCTGCAAATACCCAGCAAACATAGTCCCGAGCGGACTAGCAATGAAGAAAAGAGCGACGCGTCGTCCAATCTCCCCTGGCTTATACCAAGAACCGATAACGTAGATCGTTCCAGTAAAGGAGCAGCATTCGAAGGCACCGGTGAAAAATCGCATAGCATACAGCGTCTCGACGTTCTTAGCCCAAGCTAGACCAAAGGTCGATAATCCCCAGCCGATTTCTAAAGCCGGGAGGACCCTGTTGGCAGGATAGTGCGTCAGGAAGTAGCACGCTGGAATCATGAAGGTGCAATATGATGCCCAGAAGGTTGCCGTGATGTAGTTGAGCTGGTCGCCGTGCATGCCGAGCTCTTCTTTCATACCGCTAATAACCTCGCGTATTAGCAGCCATACACGGTAGTATATGTTGAGAACTTACCTGACATATGCATTGGTGATCGACTGTTGGTCGAGGTACTTGGTGAAGAAAGACAGGCAGCCGAAGATCAAGATGCTCAGGTCGAGTTTCAGGATTAGCCATTTCTCCTCTTCTGGCATACCCTTTGGATACCACCCGATAGAGCTCATCAGCCTGATCCAAAGACTCCCAATGCGAGACTCGCCATTACCAATGCTCCCTTGCTGGCTGGGCTCCTGTCGTGTTGATGACCATATGGTCGTTTTGTGATTCTCGTTTTCCGGCATTGCTATACCCAGCATCCACGGCAGAGGCTCAAGTCTATGATAAAATAAGACCTCTACCTCGAGTTGTGTTACCCTGTTGCACTTTTGAATCGAGGGGGCATTGATTTGTATTAATAGTAAAGGGGGTAATGCCTCTGCAAATGCAATTGGGTACCTGACATATATATTGCACTCCAGCTAGATACATATAAGAATTAGTAGAGCATCTTACCGGTCGTCACGTATATAATAGAAGGCGAGTGTTACCAATGACAACTAATAGGCGTGAACCGTAATGTCGTGATCAACCTTTCCTATGATAACACGACCCCGGCATTGCCCGAATACTTATAGCGCCGAAGAGTATACAAGAATTGAACCTGTTATCTCTTGTTATGGAGATATTGTATTTGTGTTGCATTATGAATACCTAGCTGCTTCTTACCAAATTGAGAGTTCCCCTCTCTCAAACCTATCGCGACGGTGGCGTCAACGAGACCTGGTATGGCGTGACAGGGATGCTCTTTCGCGCCCATGATATCCTCAGAGTATATATCCTCAATAAATAGCTTCGATATCAGCGCAAATAGACGACGTGCAAAAACAGTATACTCACGTTTGTATTTACTTCATCTTGAGCGGATCATAAAGCGGTTGCCGGTGCAAGAGTCAGGTTTCTAAGTTGGTTTAAAAATGACACTTGGTATTATCTGCACATCAATAGCAACCTAGCAATATATTTACTAGGAGTTCTATATGAGATGTATTTCAATGCATTTTCATAGCCTGTATTTTTGTATTTGTTATGATTGTAAACAGCTTTAATCAAACACCTTAAGTCTTGAAAATACAACCGTCTTTGATTCTCTTAACTGTGATAGTTTAGGTACTGAAGTAGGACTGAAGAGTTATATGTTCTAAATAAGAATATAATAAACATATAAACTTTTCTCATATGCGTTCGTGGTCAATTTTAATAAGGAGGCTTCGTCGGATCACCATGGAAATAAACTAGTGAGAGGTTGCAGCTGTATAATATAAGTCTATGAATAAATTTTACTATTGTTAAAGATATTCCACAACTCTGCAATACTATTCCATATGATTAATAGATCGATAATCGATATCTTTTTATATACAACTAATGTAGTCCCAGATAGTCCTATCGTTTCCTTATTATGCCAACTCTCTTACGAAATAGCCTACTGCTTTACTATACATAGCTAGGTAGGCAAGGGCATTGGTACTCATAGAAGAAGAGCTCCTTTGGAGCTTCGCAAAATATCAGTTAATGAAATACGCTATATTAATAACCTCTACATATCAACTTACAACGCCCCTTAAAAGGATAGTATCTATTTTAAACACAACAAGGAGGCCAACCTACATGCCGATTGAATTGATTATATTCACTATGCTCTTACCGTCATTATATTAGCCAAGGCAGAACTTTCCTCTGCACGCTCAAAGCTTAAACATATCAAATATCACCAGTCACTTATACGTTTGGATGAAATAGCAATCCATCTAAGATATAAGCAGGTAAGTTACATCTTACTACATACATACCCTCCTATCCAACCCACACTAAACTTGCAATTAAACCCTAGCCCCTGATCGCCGACCGGGTAACATGTGTCAGTCCCCGTCTCCGCCGATATGAGGGGTGGCTTTGACCGAGTTCTCTTTCTTTCTAGATACATACCTACCTACCTAACCTACCTATAACTAACGACTTACGTGTACGAGCAACTACGGGATGCTATTAGGTGTTTGATTTTTTGGCGTACGTAGGGCGGGTCTGGCGTTGTATTTTTTATTTTTTTTTTATTTTTTCTTTAGACAAGCGACGAGTACATACATATTGCCATGTCTTGTTTGGTATAAGGAGTATTTCATAATTATTGATCAAGTAACTAGGTTAGTTACTTGTTTTACTTTGGTTACCATCAGTGATTATCATCTCTTTGTCTTGGGTCTTGGGTCCTGGTCTTGGTGGTCCTCTTCTCTTGCCCTGACGTGTTGTGCTTCCTCGGTCCCCGCTGCCCCGTCTCTTTTTCAAATCATACGCCCTGTTACTCACTTAGTTACTCACTTATTTACGTACGTACACACTCACTCACTCCTCAACCTACTTCGCCTGCCCCAGCTACGATGAAGATCCGATTCAAGTCTCCCTCGGGCGGAGGAACGCTGGAACTCGACGATGCCTCCACAGTCGACCAGCTCCTCGAATCCATCAGGTCGAGCACCGGCTTCGCTGACGTCACTGTCAAGTATGGCTGGCCCCCTAAAGCTCTAACCGCCGATCAGGCCCAGCTCTCGGCGCAATCTCTCGGCCTTCATCGAGAGAACCTCACTGTTGTCCTCAAGGAAGATGCTTCCGCTGCTGTCGCACATAATACGCCTCCTGTCCCAGAACCCGCCGCGACCACCACACCCCCCGCGGCGGCTCTCTCCGGCCTCCCGTCTTCGCTTCGGGGCCGCGAGAAAAGCAAAGGCCAAGGTATCAAGGACCAGAACATCAGCGTCGCCATGCCGGAAGCCAGCTCTACGCTAGGTAAGCCAAGTATTATCCAATGGCGCATTCTATAGAGACCACTTTAACTAACACCGTGCGCCTCGCCCCAGTCCTCCGCGTCATGCCCGACGACAACAGCTGCCTCTTCACCGCCGTCGGCGGCGCCCTCCGGGGCCTCCGCTCCGGGCCCGACGAGTCCTTCACCGCAGACTCCCTGCGCCGTCTAGTGGTCGAGCACATCCGCGCCAACCCGGAAAAATACAGCGCCGTGATCCTCGGCAAGCAACCCGAGTCCTACTGCGCCAACATGCTGCGGCCCGACACCTGGGGCGGCGAGATCGAACTGGCCATCATCTCGGAAGTCTTCCAGCTCGAGATCTGCGTCATCGACGTCAAGACCGGCACCGTCTACCGCGTCGGCGACGGCAACGGCTACCCCCTGCGCTGCGTCCTCGTCTACTCCAACGTCCACTACGACCGCGTCGCCGAGATCTTCGTCGACGGCCAGGAGATCATGGAGTTCGACGTGACGCGCTGGGCCGCCGACGAGAGCAGCGAGTACATCATCGCGCGCGCCCAGGAGATGTGCCGGAAGCTGAAAGAAGAGCATCACTACTACACCGACACTTCCGACTTCGTCATCATGTGCAACGAGTGCGGCTGGATCGGCCAGGGCCAGAAGGCTCTTGCGAAGCACTCCCTGACCACCGGACACTCGGATATCAGCGAGATTAAGGATACCGGTGCGTAGACGGCGGTTATACATTTACTACTAGTTGGGGACCGTTAGGTCGTTATAGTAGAAATCCTCTTGTACATAGTATGATATACGGATGCTGGATGGCGCAGTCCGCGGAGAGTTGGAGATGGATACCCTTACTCGAGAGAAAGAGTAGCAGATACTCGAATGAGACTCACGATCAGTCATGCTTCATACCTATAAATATGTTCAAGGTCTCTATACTGGTTTGATGCTTAGCAATAGAGATAATTGCATCGATTTCCTAATGATGCTAATGATACGTCTGCGTACTATGTAAAGAAGGGAATATTTTAATAATGTTCGACAGGCACTTAAACTTCACCAAAACGACACAAAACACGTATATGCTATTTATTGTGGTATCTACCTAAGGATCTCTACCCAAGGCCGAGGGAGTGACTTCCTCGATATGCTATCGACATCGACATCAACACCACCACATCCATTACTAAATAACCAGAAGGGAGATTCATCTGTCCCCCAGCCGGTTAACCCCCGGTACCCAATGCCCTTGCCCAACCCTACCGTTCCAACCCAGCTGGAAACGCCGAACAATGTTTGAGATGGATGGATGGTTGCGCCCTAGACCCTCCCTAACTCCCACCAACCTCAACCATCCCATGCAATAGATCATGCAAGCCCATATCTTCATTAAAACTGATACTACTATAGTACACAAATTGCATGCAGCCTGTCGTTCGTCTCTCTAGTCAACCTCCCAGCGGCCATCTTCGAACTGCGAGATGCTGTTGCTGCTGCTGCTGCTGCTTTGTTTATTTCTTGCTGACGCGTAAGATTCGTCTTCGTCGCTCCAATCGCTAAACTCGCCATCGGAATAATCCCAGTGGACCGGGATCTTCTCACCTCCTTCGCCGATGCCGAAGATAAGGCCTCGCCATTCGCCGGCGAGAATTCTGGCGGCGACTTTCAACATGATATTTACGAGATAAGCCGGTGGGCTTAGAATAAGCCCCACCGTCTTGTTTATTATCGTGGCTGGTATCCGACGGACAGCAGCCATACGACTCTGGGGGGTTTGCCTTGGGGGTGGCGAGAAGAAGTTAGCGGGAGGGGGTAGCGGTGATAGAGCTCGTCGGCTCATAGATAAGCTATGAGGTCGTGGCCGCGGCCGGACTTGTGGCTTCTCTTCCACACCGGATGCGTGTGATGCTTTGGAAGACTCGGCAATAGTCACATGGCTGTTTTTACTATCGACAGGAGAACGTTGGGAGGGCGAGGCTATTTCGTTAGCATGGTCTTTGGCCCCTTCAGAGCTTGCATCAAACGTCTTATCCGTCTCTGGCGTATTTGTATACGCCGGATCGTCCCTTTCACGCGGAGACTGAAGAGGAATGACGATATCATCGTGTGGATGAGGAAATTGAGATTGAGAAGGCGTGATTGGGCGAGACGATGGCGGCGACGGAGGGAGCGGGTTGGCTGGTGAATTCCATGACTGTACACTATGAAATGAGTCGCTTGACCCTGCAGGAGAACTTTCATCCGATTCTAAAGGATGTGAATGCGGCGGAGGATGGGGCTTCGAAGCGCTTGATGATTCTCTCGACTTTGAAGGGAGCGAAGACACAGTAGTCACCTGTGAAGGAGCCGTGTAGGTTCGGCCAGCTAACATTCGGCTCATCCGTTTCTTCTTTAGATTGATAGGTGCGATACGACCGGATCCCTCGAAGGAAGAAGGCCCTTCATCAACTTCTTTACCTGTGACTTTCCCTTTTCTATTGTTAGGTGCGGGGGGTTCTTGCAGCATCGACTCCCACTTTTCGAAATCGACAGCTTGTGATGTCTGGGGTTGTGTTGAGATACTGTGAGAATCTACTGGGCCTAATAGCTGCTCAGCGTCCTGCACAACCAAAGCTGCCGCCTCCACCTGAGCTCGCATGGCGCGCTGATGATGACTTGTGCTCGTAGAGCTGATGTCGCTTTGTCCTGATACCGATTGCTTGGTATTATACGAAACCACATTATCCTTGACAATGTCCCATGGGATATTTGCTAATTCCAACCCAGTACCGAAATTGGAAGCCAGAGATTGTGCGCCGTCCTGAAGAGCCTTTAGAGCCGCTAGATCTAATTTTCTAGGACGAATACTATCTTCCCTCTCCTCGGCGACCGTCGACTCTTCAGACTCGGACATTAAGTGTCCAGATTCCGGCTGATAGTTATATTGTGATAAATCACGGGGTGTGTGTGGTCCAATGTCATTCCTAAAAAGGGATATGTCGCTTAAAGTACTGGACCGTCTATCCATGTAAAGTTTGGCTGTCGGCGAGGATTGGGGGGAGGAGTCGGAGAAAGGCGACGATAATAAATTCTTCCCTTCCGGAGTCCAAGCCTTCTTTTTGACTGGTGTATGCGGATCTTCCGGCAATTCTACCGTGAAGCTCCTCTTAAATGGACAATGTGTCTTTTCAAATAGCAATGTTTTATCCAAAACTTGTTTTAGCAATAAAGCGCGGTCCTGGTCATCGGGATCTAAGACTGGTAGCTCGATTCTCCAGTATTGAGGTCGTCGTATCTGCAAGACGAATCTGCTGTTATCCTCGTCGATGCACCAGCATTGACTTTTCGGGAGGATGGGCTGAAGGGCAGAGCCGCAGCTAAGGAAGGCCACGGACCCGGGGGCACGGTATATGCGGAACGGGCCTTGTAGTAGTAAAGATTAGCCCAAGAATAGCCAAAGAATAGCTAAAGGGGTAGAGTTTTGTAAGCCGTCTGTAGGGCAAACGCGGTAACCTACCAACAGCAAGAGTTCTTTCGAGTTGCGACGAAGCTGGTAAGGTACCTGGTCGATCCTCATGGGAAGAAGAGGGACGCGAACCAAATGGGTTACTCTGAGTGGAGGTAAAAGAGATTATCTTGACGGAAGGGTGGCTATAAAGAGTCTCGACCAACTCTTCGGATTTAGATGTGGTCGATTCTGACATTCCAGGCTATAAGTAAAGTGACGTGTCCGTGCTTTTGCTATGGATGCTGTGGATGCTGTGGATGAATGAAACTCCCAGGAAGAGCAGACGATATGACGTCTAGGTCATGGTGTGCAAGGTGTGCAAGGACGCGAGGACGCGAGGGTCGCGGGGTTGAGGAGAAGGGAAAAGACGGTGAGCTGGTTAAAAAGGGGAAAATGGAGGAAATGACTTAAAAAAAAGGAAAAGGAAATTCAATAGCTTCAAAAAGTTATATTAAAAGATCAAACTGTTATTTAAAAAGTTGTTAAAATTCAAACGCTACGCCTTCAAACGCGATTCTATGCCAAATGCTCATTTAAGCAGGACTTGGTGAATAGGTAGGTAGTAAGTAGGTAGTAAGTAGGTAGTGAGTAATAAATGGTAAGAAATAAGAAACTAAGGTATGCGAGAGCCGAGGGCTGCATTCGGAAAGCTTGGATGATGTCGTTCGCAAATGCACGAATGCACGACAGAAAATCGAACTACCTTCCCCGCGCCACAGGACTTATGGCGTGTACGGAGTAGTTTGTACATACGATATGGGCCATATGTGCGACACTGTATGTATGATACCGTAAGCGGTGTAAGATCCGAGGTTGGTCAGGTGGGGGTTCCCGATCCCAACATCTCATCATCTCCACATGTCTGATATCCATGGATTTGATTGATCCGTCTATCGATTAAGCTTAGACGTTCATGCAACTAATAAGTCGGCTAATGCATCCTATATATCCTATATATGCATAGTTTATGAAGTAGCTTATATTCGGTATAATTACATATATGGATAATCCGTACTTTACGAAGTACATACTGAATGAAGATATGTAGAGATAGATACCTACTTCAAGATCCTTATCCCTTATACGTTAAGCCTCCACCAAAGCTATGCTCGCTATTCTTACCTCCAGCCGTAACCTCACCCTTACTCGCTCCGCTTTCAAAAGCACAGCTACCCATATCCAATGCCTTAGCCGGTCCTGAAGGCATAATATCGAAGTCGAAGATGTCAACAGGTAACCCCAGGGTTGTACACGCATTCGGTATATCAACGATGCCCGCCACGTGTCCCTGAATGGGTGCCGACGATAGTAGTAGGTAGATCTGGTAGTCGCTATATCCAAAACGGCGGAGATATTCGATACATCCTATACTGTGTTAACCAGTTATCCCTCCTCTACTTCTCGTTGTACTTACGCAAGGTTGTCTGTCTATAAGCAACTGCGACGTCCATGTAATGTTGCTTGCCATGTTCATCCACCGAGAAGCCCTCAAAGTAAATATGGCGACCGGGTCCGAACTGCGGCTCTACCGGTCCGGGTAGGTAGATGGGTGACTTCAGGCCTAGATCTGCTACCCCGTTCTTGATGACTTTGAAGTTGATTGTGATGACACCGGCCATCTCTATCGCCCCGCAGAATGAGATCTCGCCGTCGCCCTCTATTTTAAATCAGCACTCTCCATTTATTTGCCTGGGCTCTAAACATTAAGGCTCAACTCACGCGAGAAATGTAGATCTCCAACGCTAAACTTCGCGCCGGGAACGTGAACCGGGAGATAGACCTTCGAGCCCCTGCTTAGATTCTTAATATCGCAATTCCCGCCATGTTCCGGCCGGCCCGGGATCGTCCTAGCACCTTCCCTACCGACCTTCTCCGTGAGAGCCGCATCCGCCGCGCCCGCATGCAGGCCCTTCGACTCCGGCGGTAGGGCGACCTGTCTCTCGAGCCTATTAGCCGAGATAAGCTCTGCCTCGCGCTTATTCCAAGTCGCTAAGACCTCAGCCGACGGCGCACAGCCCAGAATACCCGGGTGGATTATTCCTGCGAACTTGACGTGCGGGATGTGGCGCGACGTAGCAAAGATGCCTTCGAAGTCCCATATAGCCTTTGCGGCCGATGGGTAGATCTCGTCTAGAAACCCGCCGCCGTTGTCTTTGTGGAAGACGCCGGTGAAGCCCCAGGGCTGGTCTTCAAATGGCTGGACATCCATGATTTCAACCAGGAGGATATCGCCCGGCTGGGCGCCTTCGATCTCAAAAGGGCCTGTAAGGCAATGGACCTTAGTTAAGTCAACATTGCGGATATCGTCGGCGCTGTCGTTATTTCCAATCTGGCCTCCTGTCCTGTGATCTAATTAGTTTTTATACGGAGGGTATAGCTTAAGACCCACCAGTCAAGACATTCAATCTTAACCGTCTCACCATCCTTGATAGTGCCCGCAGATGGAACTATGGATGCGTCAATACGTAGGTTTCTGGCTAAAATATTCATTTTGGGGCCATACTATCAGGGTGCCATCTGTTCTTGATACGATATTAGTTAGGAGGTATATATTTAGTCTATCCAGTTTGACCTACGTGAATGTTTTTATGCGCTGTTGCTGGCTTATCGAGGCTTACCTTGCCGGCAGTACGAATTGCGGTTTTACCCATAGTGAGTTTCTAAGACTTGCGATGTTTTCCAATGGTGATATCACTGATCTAGGGTGGTTGTGACTGTTAGTACTAGCGAAAGTTCTGCATCTAGCTCCTCATAGACACCAGGACGGACATCAATGTTCAATAGAAACTATGTAGGTACATGTTCAGGTTTACATTAAGGTACCTTATATACCTTTTATAACGGAACTTACTTGGACGTACCCCGCATCGCGGTCTGCAGGAGGCACCTATCGCAATAGACATTGTGATATCACATACTAGAAGATACTAAGCAGCCTGCGTCATGTTAGTGACGGCAAGGACATGACACCTTGGGTATACCTAATAGCTAAGGTTGGCGTATCAAAATCTCCAACTATTCGCCCCCCCACTTGGGAATCTACCTTATCATACCTATCATAGGTAGGTACCTATCAAAGTCGATGAACGGAATATGCACCCAGCTGATAAGAGGAATCCCAAGCAGCTGCTCAAGTTTACAGATAAGGGAGAATATCTCCGGGAAACGTAATTCATATAGAGAACCTAGTTATAGCTTATCTTACTATTCTCTTGGCTTGCCAGATCCGGATATAAAGTGTTTAATGTGATAATAGAGATTATAAACCATTTTAACTAAAATATCGTCGTATATCGGTGATAAATACCCCTTACAATCTAGTATTTGCGATCTGGGGCAATTAATAAGGCCATTATAATTCTTTCCTGCTTCCCTGCTTTACCGACTCATCGTATGATGGCGGCTCATCTCCATGGATGGCATCCAAGTTCGCTAATGGAAGGTTGAGGAACTCATGCTTGTTCTTCCAGACTTGTTGGCTTGCTGCAAATTCCTGTATTTCGGAACGGGGCGCGTTCGGCGACGGCGGGGGGTCCGTGATCTTAGTGATAAGGTACGCGGTCGATGCTTCGGCAATGCCATATATCAACACGCCGAGTAGCGGGACCCGGAGAAGCGTGTAAAATCCAATACCGAACCCGAAAAGGAGCCCTTCACGGCTCCTGAACCAATTTCGCTTCTGCTCCTTGGTGAAGTAGATACGGGCAAAGTAAGGTTCGAGTAGTTCACGCATCAGGCTCCGCGAAGAGAAATAGGTCTGAAGGAAAATGACGAGGTAGCGCTTCGGGAGAAAAATTCCCGTACCAAAGATGACCGCCGCTGGCCCTAGGCCAACCGCCTTGTTGAAGGTATAGAAACTGGCCGCGGGAAGTACCAACCGGCCGATGTATGGGACGTACGACAGAGCAAATACGGCCAGAGAAACGAGCGCCTTTCGAGCAAACTTCCACAGGAACATAGTAACGGCCTCGGCAGTGCTTCCCGACTGCGTGCTCCCATCCAGATGCTTGAGTTTACTAAGGTTCGGATAGTACATATCGCGGAGTGTATCGGGATTCTCGTGCTTATGCTTATGGACATAGGTCATATCTACCCATCGTAACGAGTCCATGAACCTGGCAGGTTAGGAGTTAAATGAGCACAAGCCGTGTTGCTACGAGGAAATAACGACGTACATATTGTCTAGTGTTGGTGTCATATATCTCATGAGAGTCATGAGAAACAAAGGAACTTGAAGGACATGGTTGGCGATCAAGTCAAGGCCATTTACCAGAGTATCGTCCCACGTGGCTTTGTCAAGATCGAATATTAGAGAGAGGACGCCCAGAAGAACTTTGATCCCGATGATCTAGTGTTTAAGATGGTTACTTATAAGTCGACCTAAGCAGATCAGGTCTTGGGGCTCTTACCGGAACGGCAATGGCCAAACGGATCGCGATGCCGGCACCGACAGCTATGGCGGCTTGCCTATAGTGATCGTTCGTGAATATAGCGGGGTTTTGTAGAGCTCGGTGAGCTATAGGAGAGATATTAACGACCTTGTAGGAACAATTGAGTTCCTTGTATATAGATAGAACATACCACCAACGAGTGTCAATTGTATGCCACGTATGACGGCATTTAAGTCGAAGTGGGAGAGGTCGAATGCCTTCTTGAGGTCTTTTTTATCCAGCTTGTCTAACTTGTCTAATTTAGACATGTTTAGTTTGAATACCGTTTAATTCTTGGCTGTGGGAAGAAAAGTAGAGTCTTGAATTAAGAATTGAGTAAGAAGCATAAGACCATAGGAGCCGGATACCCGACTGATGAATGCACCGGTGACGACATCTGCGTACCTAAGCTTTATGTTATCTAATCTCGACTTATTGTTGTCTATCGATAAGAGTTGTTCCATATAAGCCACGGGCAATACGCCTGTACGCTTAAGTGCTACTTCAGGTAATCTCTCCACCGCGTATTTCGCAAACGGATTTGATTCGTCGTTTCCCCTTACTTCGTGAGCACTGCCACACGCTTTATACAAAGGGCTGAGAAGATGCCTAACCTAGGTACATATGCTTATTCTTTCTCGACTAAACTTTGATGAAAAATGAATCAGAGCTGAGATTCTGCCTCTACGAGGGGAAAGTCATATCCAGACACCAATGAAAGAGACTAATACAATTTCATATAAGCATATAGGTAGGCTGAGTCCAGCCGCACGAACTTAATGATGCAGTAAGGTGGACGATATAAATGTTTATTAGTGGTTACAGGTACCAGGCCACTCCTCGTGGCGCGGCGTAGCATTACATCTTTTACGCCGTATTCCTACAAGCAATGCGATTGGTCGATTGTCGTCTGTGAGGCTAGGATTGGTTCACATTCAAGAAATACAAAGCAGGCAAGGTATATTTCTATATCTCTGCCCAAAAGATAGTTGTATACCTATATAAGAAGACATCATGGACTTCTATCAGGGCCATGTAGATTCAGCATTCCGGATTCGGCGTGAACGGATCAATAGGGAAAATAACAGCAGTTGATCATCAAGTTATTATATTTTATTTTATCTACCTCTGCCTAAACGACGACGTGCTGTCAGCAAATATGGAAGACGGAAAAAAAGTCGACGGTAGCTTCTATATATACGCCCCAAACAAAGGAGCGCCGGTGTTCTTCGCAGTCGCCTTTCTAGCTACCGGTGGTGTTCACCTTTGGCAAGCAATGCAAGTGCTCTCTCGAAAGTGACACCCTAATAGTCGGCAAATGCAATTCTAACACGGACTAGTCATTACAAGAGCTGGAAGCTCACCGGGTTATATGTTTTATGCGCGCTTCTGTTCGGGTCGGGTTTTATTGTGAGAGAGTTGGGGGCTTTCGAGTATACGAACCTCGGCTATTATATTGCTAGCCAATGTCTTATTTACTTTGCACCGTAAGTTTAAAGCCCAGCTACCTTAGGTACCTATTAATCCTCATAAGTTGCTTATCGAATTATGTACTAGGCCGCTATACGAACTCTGCAACTATTATATCCTCGGCCGCATACTTTACTTCGTCCCCTATTACTCTCCAATCCATCCTGGGCGAGTACTGACGACCTTCGCCGCTATCTCCATGGCCGTCGAGGCACTGAACGGCAATGGTATTGCCTATATGGCTAATAGGTCATTACCAGAGGAACAGCAGCGGGCGGGCGAGGCGCTAATGAAAGCCTCGTTGATATTGCAGCTTTTCGTTGTGTCGCTTTTCGTTGTGCTCGCTGGCGTATTCCAAACGAGGTGCCGACGAAACGGTATCAACCACGTCAAAGTAAACGAAGCACTCCTAACTCTTTATATCAGCACAGCCATCATCATGGTCAGGTGCATATATAGAACAGTCGAGTACTTCGGTTCTACTAACGTCGACTTTTCGGATCCAAACTTCGACTACTCGGCCTTAAGCCCGATTGTTCGCTACGAGTGGTTCTTCTACGTGTTCGAAGCGACGCTTATGCTATGCAACAGCGTGTTGTTGAACGTCCGCCATCCGCGCCGCTGGTTGCCAAGTTCCACCAAAGTCTACCTCGCTAAGGACAACGTGACGGAAATCATGGGGCCAGGGTATAAGCAGGAGAGGAACTTTTTGGTTACCCTCCTCGATCCTTTCGATATCTACGGCATGATTAAAGGCAAAGATCAAGCCACGCGTTTTTGGGATGACAATGAACTTGAAGGGAGGAAGACTGATGTTGATCCAATGCTATCGACCGCCGAAAGACAGACCAACAGAGCTGTCTGAAAATAGAATGATTTGAATTTGGAGTTTCTGGGGTTCAGGGCATTTCGAATGCTTCTGCATATATCCACATGATTAGTTTAGACGGCACAATCAGTTGTGTCAAAGAATAGCAACAATACCTAGTTAATGTTTCTAGAAAACATGATTGAACTTCTAGTGTATTTTGCTAGGTTAGAAATATATGTATTATTTAGCATTTGTCATATTGTTTGGTAGGGATTCTGAATAAGAAGGATTCCATGTCAGTCAGATCCGTCAGGAAAGAGAGCCACATAGTAAAAGTCTAACCTTAGGTAGTTAGTGGCTGGAACATCTACGCAGCGTACCTACCTAGGTAGGTAGTATACAGTTAGGAAGGCACTTTTGTGCTTTTTGTTTCCGTTCTATGTATTCGAAACATGTCAAAACATACTAAACGCTCAATCGTCCCCCGCTTGCGAGATGAAACAATCTTATGTGATGTGCCAAAACCCCGTGTAATCCACATTATTAAGGCTGGCATTGGAAGTTGAAGAATTCGGTGTTTCAATAGTATGTATGCCGTTTTTGGGAATTGCTTACGAGCAAGCTTATCCAAAGGGACCTGTGCCTTAAATGGTATGACGCTATCAACGGTCTTCCTCACGATCAACGAGCTATTTGGTAAAAATAGGACAATTGCTTCGGCAGCTGAATTGCGCTGGCGATGACTTTAAAAGTACCTGATAGATTAAATTATTTCCAACATTGATTGGTATCTTGTTGTAGATGGGCTAATCGCTTAACGCCGGAGGAAGTAAGGGATTCTTCGATCTAAACGATAAAGAGAAGTTAGCCATAGTGCGACATGTCACATGAGATGTTAGGTTGAGAATTACATATGTACCTCATTCAAGTCACGTCAAGTTGGATAATGCAAATTTATAATTACAAAGTACATGTATGTGATGCTGTTTGTTTTGCTATTGCTCTTACATTTTTATAGGTGGGCCGCGGCATGCACATGTAATGCGGAGGGGAAAGCTACCTCATGTATGTACATGATAAGCCAGCCGGCTGCATACGCTAAGCTCTGTGCGAGACCAGTTTTTTCTATTTTCAGAAACATCCCACCAAAGGCTATGCATTTAAGGCATGTACGCAATATTCAAGGTATTATTAAAGGTAAGGTACGTATACGACGGTAAATTGCAGTACACTCATATGCACATACCATATTCGGGTACATTTATGTGCCTAAAGTATATCAAATAGGTATGTACTTAATAATACCTTATTATTAACAACAATATTTTATAACAAATAAATGGGCGAATCAATGTTTAATATAGATAAGAATAAAAGCCTCGAGGATCGACGTTTAATAAATACAAAGTTGCTTACAATAATAAGCATTCCCAAATTCCGTCTTATGATTATATTTAAAGGCGTTAGTCGAGTTAAAGTAGTAAAAGGCGAGCAAAGAAACGTCATAGCTTATTACTATGCCGGTCATTTTTCGAACCTGGTAAGTCCGCAAGTCATGATAATGTGGCTCGGTTCAGTTGTAGAACCCAGTTGTAGAACCCAACGGCTAATCCGAACGGCGCCTCATTTGCCATCCAAAGGAAACATCTTTAATAAATATCAGGTAGTTAAGGGGGAGAGCTATCATCTCCATACATCTCAATATTATCGGTAGCAGCGCTAATTTATGCTCTGGAATCGCATCGACAATGGAACAGTTTCCAATAATGTATTCGTACTTGAGTTTTATATGCGGTAACAGCTTCAAAATGTCCTCGCTACGAAAGTTAACGATATAGCTAGTTACCTCTATCTCTATGCAAGTTTCGACCAATTGACAAATGATAAATACAGCCGCAGGGATCAACATCCTTCAAACTTGCCATTTCCGCACCAGAAAATATCACTTCAAGGGTTCTTACCAGGGGTCATCCAGGCGGATCTTCTAGTATTTTCCTTTTGGCTGGGGGTGAGGCGGAGCTGGAATGGATGTACATACTAGGTAGTATACCAACAATACATACCCAGGTCAGGTATGCTATGTGCTATGTATGTAGGTACACTACGGAGGCAGAGAAGCAAAGGAGGCAAAGGAGGCATGGCACTATGTACATCTCTGGCTCTGGGGATCGCTTCGCCATACATGATGTACATGCAATACTAACCTCCGTCTAACCGTCGTACATACATACCTTACCTATGCTTGGGATATGCTTGGACACCGCCGTTCGTCCTGACAAGTTTCGCCAATGAGCGTGTTTATCTAAACTAACCCGCTGCGGATACAACAAATCATTTCGTCGTTCTGCCCCTCTTCATAGGTCACTGACAGGTTAATCATTCTTATTCTTCGATTCTATTTGCCGTTTTCTTGCTCATACATTACCGGCACACCTCTCTACAACCCTACCTCAACAGGTAGCCACTCACGACGTACACGCACTTGGACTCTTGGACTATCAGCAGGATTGTCACTTACAACTTGCACATAGCGCCTGCTCCTCAACATCTCCTTGTACGCCACCGTCCTTAAACCGTTCGTCTAGCCTCCGAGCTACTCCTAGCGGCTTAGACGAACTTGGATTATTGGATTTCTCTCCTGGATTCTTTCCCCGAGGCTTATTATAATATAGCACTCCATCGCACACCTACTCAGATCATCTTCATTCCCCCTGTTACTTCTCTAACCAGAGGGCGTCGCATAATAGAGGAACAAACTCCACCGCTAACGTTGGAAAAGTACTCAATTTAAAGTATTTTTGGTATTTTTGGCTGGTCACACCCAACTGCCCTTTTCGAGCGTCTCGCGTTGAGGGCCTTGGCACGCTTCTAGCGGCTCGCCCGTCATATTCTAGAGACAAGCACCCATAGCCGCAAGTGTGCTCCAGGCTTGTTTCCCATCGAATCCCAACCAACCCTTGTCAGCCGAAGTGGTAGTAGCATCCTTTATTAAGAACCGTCCTCTCTTTTTATTTCCCTCCTCTCCGTGTATTGCGGAGGCCGGCACCTAGCAACATGGATCACAATCGGAGCAAGGCAATACGCAACGAACGCAACAATCTTTCGAAGCCGCAGGTTTTCGTCCAACTCGCATTTGGCGTGTCTTGGTCTCAACGGCATACACCACAGACGCATACCATGACTTATATGTCTCGTAACTTGAAGAACGCGAGGGATTCCGGAAACTTCCCTCGCCAAGTACCCCCGCCGAATGCCAACTTCTTAGGTATCCCGGAATCGCGCCAGCAGCGGAGTCGAGAGCACCCAGGTCGACATTATCGTCAACATAATCACGCCCAAGCCCGGGAAGCCGGACGTTCCCGGGGTCAGAATGGTAATCAACCTGGCGAACAGGTAAGGCTCCGGCCAAGGCGGAATTCAGCGAGTGAATCTCGAGCGGAAAGGGGAAGGTCAGCGCCGCCGCTATTTAATGATAGCCCGTGGGACGTTCCTCATGTATCTGCGTCTTTATTCCCACAACGTTCACAGACGGCTGGAGAGCAACCTTGGAGAGCATTGCCTGCAGCACCGAGTCAGTATCGACTTGGTGAAGAAGGGCTACCATGGTCTGCATATGCTTGGCCAGGGGATGTCCAGGACGATGGCGATGGCGATGGCGATGGCGAGGAATTGCCTTTTGAAAATCACCCAACGACCGTCCCTCTCGATACGGAGCGATCTCGCGCCGAGGACCCCGAAAGAGTGAGGGAACTCGAGTCGCTGTCTACGGCCATGATGACGGTGGACAACGGGTTCGAGCATCAATGGTGGTATCAAGGTCCTCGAGAGTCTATGGAACGTTGGTGGACGCAACGAGCCGCAGAGGAGGCGGACGATGCACGGTCGGCCGTGAGCGCCGAGGCGGTGCTATTATCTGACATGGCACCACCGTCGGCCTTGGAACCTGGAGAGGACGACATGCCGAATTTTAATGATATCGTATCGCCGATATCAGAAGCGTCAAGCCCGCCCCCGAATTTCGGCCGTTCTCTCCACAGATCATTAACGACAAGATCGGACGAACTATGGCTAGGAAGTTAAGGGCTGGTCGATGATAGGTACAAAGGAGTTTAGGTTAGAAGAACGGAGCATTGCAGGCGATGCTTGGGCATTGGATATGCTATCAAGCGGGAGGGACTACTACAGAGCATTTGCATACTATTGGGCGTTTGAATTCAGGACCATTAACTACTTTAATAATACTATGAAGGGCATCAAAGTGGAGGATATTCCCACGGATCGCAATGGATTTAGCATGAAGCATTATATGGAAATCTGGTAGCAACCAATGTGCCCAATATTGAGCATTAATTACTTCTTTCTATGGGTTCAATACATACGTCTAATAGCCTTACCACACATCACGACTCCTCCCGCCACGATAAATCGGGAGTGTTTCGTAACCGTTATAGGAGAGTACCTCAACTACATCATATCGTACAAGGCGGGCTTAGCAATCAACATTCATCAACATTCAATAGTAGGTACTACGTATTACGATGCCGGCTGAATGGAGCAGTTCTATTAGGAGTTAAGATAGGCTTTAAGCTATGTGGAGATTTTTATTTTAACATTGCGTCGGTTTTTGTAAAGCGAGACGATTTGCTACGATGATTTAAGGCACGATGCGTAAAACTCCATTATTTGTTACCCAATGCCTGACAGAACCAGGTTAGGTGACAAGCGCCAGCAATGACTTGCTTTCTCAGCTACCTCCTAACCCCTAACCCTTAACCTACATAGGTAGTATTTACCTAGGTAGTTAAGTTGTATAATATAAAAAAGGAGAACAAATACCCCTTTCAAAATACACTACACTTTACACCATACAACGATGAGACCCCTAAATATCGTCTATTTATTCATTAATCATGCGCTCATCAATAAAAAATCTTAGTGGAGCTACTACCAGGGATAGCTTTCACCGAGTTAAGACACGGCGAGATCTGGGGTTAGTCAGTTTACGAATGTTTTGATCCTCGAGACGGGGAATGTAACGTTGAACCTGACCCATCGTCGGGTGCCATCTCCACATACAACACTACACATTCATATATTATGGGGGGGGGATCATCGTGGTAAGTATTGATGTATGGATTGTGACGATTAGACCTGCATACATAAAGGTCTACTTTAACAATCCATCGACAACTTTATCTAAATATAGGATATGATGGCCTGCTTTATGACTTATACCTAATATTTACCTATATAAAATAACAGAAACAACTAATAAACAGCAACAAAAGCAACAACAACAACATCAACAAGGCCGAACTGTA